GAGCCCGTGGGCAACGCCTTCTCCGCGCACCCCGCCCTGGCGTCCACCCCCTCGGCCTCCGAGGTCTCCCTGGCCTTCGCGGCGACCGAGCCCTCGGGCCGCCGCGCCGCCCCCCCCCCTCCTCCTCCTCCCCCCCCCCCTCCTCCTCCTCCTCCTCCTCCTCTCCTCCCTCCTCCTCCTCCTCCTCTTCCTCCCTCCTCCTCCTCCTCGGGGAGGGTCGGGCCGAACGAAAGGGGGGGGGATAGGGAAACGGGGGGGGGGGGTGCGAAATCTGCTGCATGCAGCTGGTTTCGGCCCCACCGCGGGGCCCATTCCTCGATACATGGCCGCCTTCGGCGCCGGGAGGCGCCGGGAAACTGCTACGTGAGCTGATTCTCAAATCCCCCGATTGCTATCCCCCCGGCCGCCGCGGCCGCTCTCGCCCCCACCCTCCCGCATCCGTCGCCGTCGTCAGGGAGGGTTCCAAAAACAGGTGTTGGGGGAGGGGCTTTTCAGGATGGGGTCCCCCGGGGGCTTCGCCCCCCCCTGTTTTGACGAGGTGCCAGGGCCCCCTGGGGGGGGGGGCTTTCTGGAAAACCCTCCCTCATAAAACCCCCTTGTTGGAACCCTCCGGGTCGGTCGTCGGGGAGGCGGGCCCCGTTGAGGGGCGAGTCAAGGTCTCCCGGTCCCACGCCGTTTTCCGCCCGCGCCTCCCCGATGTCTTCTCATGGCCTCTCCAGAATCTCTTGGGGGAGGGAGGCTCCGAGTTTGAGCGCGGCACCTCGCCCCGCCCACATGGCATCGTCCCGCCACCACGCCGTCGTCGGCGAAGAGGCGGGGGGGAAGGGGCGCGAGGCGGCGAGGGCGAGGCGGACGGGGCGGCAGTGGGGGGAGGGGGAGGAGCGGGAGGGGGGGAGGGGCAAGAGCGGGAGGGAGGATTAGAGCTGGATTAGAGCTGGTCAAACGGTTCGCAACGCCCCGTGGATTTGCTACCGCGGGAGGGGGGCCGCTTCGGGCCGTCCCCGAGCCACACCCCACTCCTCGCACGCCTTGGCAGCCCAGCTGCCACTGCCTGCGTTCTGTTCTCGCACGAGTCGGGTCCAGCACTGTAGCTACATGTGGCTCGCTCGAGACTAGACTTGGGCTCCAGCTTTGCCCCCCGCTTCTCGCAAAAGGCTTGCCCAGAGCTCTCGACGAAAATGGCTCCAGCTTCGCCCCCCCGCTACTCGCAAGAGGCTGGCCCAGAAGCTCCCCCCTGCCATGTCGCGCCGACGCCCTCGGGGTGCACCGATCCACTGCCCCGATTGTTCGCCCCAGCACTAGTTCCGTTCTCACACGAGCTGATTCAAGCGCTGTAGCTGAAAGTGGCTCGCTCGAGACTTGTCTTGGGCTCCAGCTACGCCCCCCGCTGATATGAGGCTTCTCCAGAACTCTCGACGAAATTGGGCTCTAGCTTCACCCCCCGCTTCTCGCAAGAGGTTGGCCACAGAGCTCCCCCCTGCCGCTTCGCGCCGAAGCTATCGAGGTGCACCGATCCACTGCCCCGATTGTCGCCCCCGCACTTCTCGCACGCGCTGTCTCTAGCGGAGTTAGTTAGAAGGCCATCGGGCTCTAACTTCACCCCCCCCTTCTCGCAGCCGTTTTCTCCCAGCGCCAGCGTCCGCTGCCACTGCTTGCCCCTCTTCTCGCACGGGTCGCTCCCAGCGCTGTAGCTGATCGTAGCCCACCCGCACGCTTTGCAGCGCCAGCGTGTGCTGCCACTGCGCGCACCCTTCTCGCACGGACTGCTCCCAGCGTTGTAGCTGATCGTGGCACATCCGTTTGTGCCCGCTTCCCCCTCGATCCCAGCACTGTAGCTGATCACGTCGGGCTCTACCTTCGCCTCCCGCTTCTCGCAGTTGGGCGTCGGGTTTAGAAGCGGGCTCCAGCTTTGCCTTACACTGCTCGCATAGTAGTGGTATAGGGCTAGACTAGATTGGCCTCTGGCTCCAATGTTGGGTTCCAGCTTCGCCTCCCGCCTCTCGCAGTGAGGTGTGGCATCTGACTCCCAGTGTAGTATGTCCTGATCGCCGCACTGTGACTGACGGTATCGGGCTCGACCTTCGACGGCCACCAGCTTGACCTCCAGCGTCGGATGCGGAGTCGGCTGTAGCTGACGGCGTTGGGCTCGACCTTCACCATCCCGCTTCTCGCAGTGAGGTGTATGGTCTGGCTCCCGCTTGTGACCCTGAGGCCGGCGTTGTAGCTGCTGACGTCGGGCTCGTCCTCCGTCTTCTCGACGGATTGTCTGCACTCTGACCGCGGCGCCGCAACTGTTGCCGCCCCGGTTTGCCAGGAGGTGGAGGAGGGGGAGAAAGGAGGGGGGGAGGGGGCGGAGGGGGGCGGGTTTCCTGGCGGCTGCGCGCTCGCCTGGTCTCAGCGTTGCAGCTGACGACGTTTGGCTCCGCGCTGCTTCTTGACTGAGGCCTGGCCTCAGCATTTCTTTGGCCTGGCCTGGCCTGGCCTGGCGCCCAACGCCGCTTCGAAGTTGGTGCGCCACATCGTCCAGGAGGCCCGGGGCAGGGGAGGCCGCTCGGACGCGAAATGGCTAGCGGGAGGGAGGAGGAGGAGGAGGAGGAGGAGGAAGAGGATGAGGAGGAGGAGGATGAGGAGGAGGAGGAGGAGGGGAATGGAGGAGGAAGGCAAGCGGGGGCGGAGGAGGCAGCAGGAGGTGGAGGCGGAGGGTGCAGAGCAGTATCGGGTGGGAGGAGCGAGCAGCACGGCGAGCTGGAGGAGCATCGTGAGGTGGAGGTGGAAGGGCGTCGTTCACCTTCTATCTCTTTCCCTCGTGCCCCCCCTTCCCTCCATGCTTCCTCCTTCCCCAGTTCCTGCCACCCTCCTCCATGCTCGCGTGCGTGAGCGCGCCTTGGGGTGGGGAGGGTGGAGGAGGGTGGGAAGGATGAGATGAGTGAGTGGGAAGTGGGGGAGAATGCCACAAGGGGTGTGGAGGGGATTGTGCTGGATTGTGCTACTCAGGTCGATATTCCGATGGAGAATACAAAGCACGACTTCTCACGCCATGCGAGTCTGGACTGATACTGGTACTCCTGACGGATACAGCTGCTGCTCTTTCAGCTGCTCGCAAGGGGCCACGCACGACTGAGGACTGTTGCCTTACCCGCAACTGCCGATCCCCGTCAACGTCGTAGTCGTCGTCGTAGCAGTGGTAGTAGCAGTAGTCATAATCGTCGTCGTAGTCATAGTCCTAGTCGTAGTCGTAGTCTTCGTCGTAATCGTAGTCGTAGTAATACTAATGGTAGTAGTGGTGGTAGTAGTAGTAGTGATATCAGAAGAAGTAGTAGTAGAAGTAGTAGTAGAAGTAATAGTAGCAGTAGTAGTAGTAGTAGTAGTAGTAGTAGTAGTAGTAGTAGGCGTAGGAGTAGGAGTAGGAGTAGTCGTAGTAGTAGTAGTAGTAGTAGTAGTAGTAGTAGTAGTAGTAGTAGTAGTAGTAGATGTAGAAGTAGTAGTAGTAGTAGTAGTAGTAGTAGTAGTAGTAGATGTAGAAGTAGTATTATTATTATTAGTATTATTAGTAGTAGTAGTAGTAGTAGTAGTAGTAACAGTAGTAGTAGTCGTAGTAGTAGTAGTAGTAGTCGTAATAGTAGTAGTAGTAGTAGTAGTAGTAGTAGTAGTAGTCGTAGTAGTAGTAGTAGTAGTAGTAGTCGTAGTCATAGTCGTAGTAGTAGTAGTAGTAGTCGTCGTCGTAATAGTAGTAGTAGTCGTCGTCGTAGTGGTAGCAGCCGTAGCCATACACACAGTACCAATAGCCGTAGTTGCAGCATTCGCAGGAGTCGTAGCAGTTGCAGTGTAGTAGTAGTAGTAGTAGTAGTAGTAGTAGTAGTAGTAATAATAGAAGTAGTAGTAGTAGTAGTAGTAGTAGTAGTAGTAGTAGTAGTAGTAGTAGTAGTAGTAGTAGTCGTGGTAGTAGTAGTGGTGCTAGGAATAGTCGTAGTTGCAGCTGTAGTCGTAGCAGAAGTAGCAGTAGTCGTAGGAGCAGTAGTCGTAGTAATAGTAGTCGTGGTAGCAGTTGTAGTATTACTCGTCGTAGTTGTAGTCGTAGCCGTAGTAGTAGTCGCATTCGTAGTCGAAGTAGTATTCGTAGTCGGAGTCGTCGTAGTAGTAGCGGTCGTAGCATTAGTACTCGTAGTAGTAGTAGTAGTAGTAGTAGGAGTAGTAGCAGGAGTAGTAGTAGTAGTAGTAGTAGTCGTAGTGGTAGTCGTGGTCGTGGTAGTGTTGGCTGTTGCAGTCGTAGTAGTGGTAGCCGTAGTTGTAACAGAGTAATCACAGCCGTAGCAGTAAACGTCGTAGTAGTAGTAGCAGCTGGTGTAGTAGTAGTAGTAGTGGTAGTAGTCGTAGTAGTAGTAGTAGTAGTAGTAGTAGTAGTAGTAGTAGTAGTAGTAGTAGCAGTAGTAGTAGTAGTAGTAGTAGTAGTAGTAGTAGTAGTAGTAGTAGTGTGGTAGTAGTAGTAGTAGTAGGAGTAGTAGTAGTAGTAGTAGACGGAGTTGTAGTATACTAGTAGTGGTAGTTCCAGTAGTTTGTCGTTAGTAATTAGTAGTAGTTGTAGTAGTAGTAGTAGTAGTCGTAGTAGGTCGTAGTAGTGTAGTAGAGTAGTGTAGTAGTAGTATGTAGTAGTTGTCGTAGTAGTAGTAGTAGTAGTATTAGTCGTAGATCGTAGTGTTAGTCGTAGTAGTAGTAGTAGTACTCGTAGTAGTAGTAGTACTAGTAGTAGTAGTAGCAGTAGTCACAGCAGCAGTAGTAGTTGAGGTAGTATCAGGGGTCGTCGTATACTTCGTAGTAGTAGTACTCATAGTAGTAGTAGCCGCAGTAGCAGTGGTAGTAGTAGTCGTAGTAGTAGTAGTAGTAGTAGTAGTGGTAGTAGTAGTTTTAGTAGTAGCTGTCGTAGTTGGCTCCAACAAAAGTTTCCTTGGAAACTCGCAAGAGGAATAATATGTATGTAAACCCGTCGGCAAGATGAGAAGTCG